AAAATGCCATTTTCACTGCCAGTATATTATTGTTTTTTTGCATGCTTTATTTCTTTTAAATTTCATAAATGTAGTTACCTGCAAAATCCGGTGTATAATGCTAACACACTCTTTTAAAACAAAATAAGATCACAATTTATTGGGTGTGATTTATACGCGACGGATATTAAAATGATAGCTTCAAAAATAGAAAAAAAAAGAACAGAGTAACAATTGTACTTCTTCGTTGATCAGATAACTGTTTATTTTTTAAAAAAATGGCATAATTAATGAACTTTAGGATTGTAAGCTTAGAAGTGTGCATTTTTTTCAAAACTGTGGGATATCTCGAATAAATGACCTAAAAACACATAGAATTGCACATGTGCATTTCAGGTTTCTTCACAGAAAAGGTGATCCGCTTTGAACAGCGAATATATCTAAGAATAAAAAAAAAAGTGCTGCTTGAATATATGCATGAGATTTATACGCCGGCGTTTAGAGTAATGAATATATCGCGATGCATAATTTGTCCAGACTCAAATACTTTACAATTAAATTTTATGTTCGCTAAGTCAAATTGAACCATTAAGATTTTTATAGAAACACTAATTAATTGAAAATGTAAATCCTACATATAAATTTATGTGTTTTATATATAAATTTATATGTAGGATTTACATTCTTGACGCTTATATGTAACTTGCGTTTCTTGACGCTTATATGTTTCTCACACAATTATTTTAACTTTCTGACAATATTTAAATCGTAGCTCAGTTAACAGTACGTGTTCAATTGCAAAATCATTCACTTACTAAATGTCTGATTACTAGGAAATTTTTGCATCTAAAATCTTTGAATAATATTACTCTGGAAATATTTTTTTTTAAAATAAAGAATTTTTTACATATCATCAGGAAAGCAAAAGTATATCTAAGGATTAATACGTCAATAAGTTGTCCCCTCTCTTTCCTTACAGGTGTACCCCCCCCCACAAAAAAGATTTATATTCCTCGAGAAGGCAATTCAGTTTTGCAAAACTTCGTACTTTACCAGTATGAAATTATTCCGTGGAACCCGGGATAGTAAATAATGGAATATTGACAATTTATTAGAAGGTGCATAGAAAGAAAAAAAACATTTGAATATTCTTTTATTATGTTGTAATAAAAGTTAAAAAAGTACTACAAAATATAAAGTTATATATAAAAGAACTTTTCACAGTTTGAATGACTTGGATAAGCTACATATACTTGCCGTTGTACAAACTTCATAAAGAAATGGAATCCATTTTGCATAGACATTTATAATTTTCTTTTCTATTCTTTATTGTGATATGTGAAACACCTGGGCACGTTTTGTGGAGCCACAGGGTTCCGAAGAAAACAGTTTAAAGACCACTGTTCTAATAGATTCTAAAAACAAAGTTTATATATGTTCCAAGATTTATGGCAAATGATTGAAAGTTCAAATGTAGGCTATTCGAATGCTTATTTTTCAAGAAAGTTAACTGCTGTTTCTTTAAGTTTGTTTGTAACTGTAACTAAATGAAATTATCTGCTGTAAACTGCATAAGTTATGTATAAGTTGCAGAATGTTAGACCTACGCAAGCATATATTTTAACGTTAAAATCTAAATTTATGCAAAAGGAACTCTTAAATTTTAGGTTGCAAATCCATGCAAAATTTTCAGGATTTCCCACGCTGCTGTAAATATTTTAATATCATTCAGAACAATGTACGTATTTTAATGAAAAATATTTCTCTATGCAAGTGGCAACAAAAACATGTAAAAACCAACTAAACGCAGACTATGAAATAAGACTGCAGATAAATTCAACAGACCTAGGCTTCAACAGTTTTTGCAACAAAAGCAAGCACATATCCCAGTTACTAAATATAATACATGGATTAGTGACACTTAATCAAAAATTAAAATTTTTAATTAGTAAATTATATTAAAGTTATATTGATCGTTTAGTAACAAATACAGTACTTTTTAGTTGTCTTTACATAAAGTACCTATAGCATGTTCATATACTGTAAATATTTTTTAAGATAAACTAAACTCAGTGGTGCAACTGCCCATGAGGCCTAAGTCCTACTGTGACCATCTCAGTATACGGGAACTTGGACGCTGAGGAGCATGAGAAGACATTCCGGTTGGATGAGCCATACTCAACCTGCAGCGCACCAATTTTTAATTGGCCCGGGTACTGTTTATTATTATGAGAAATTTTAACTTATTTAAGAACATTGTATTGAAAATTTGGCGGGAAATTCTTTGTCAAGAAATCAAGTATATCACTTCGTTTTTTTCTGTCCGTGTCGAACGGTTTCGATTTGATATATTCTTTTTTCTATTTGGAACTGTTAACAGTTAGTGATAACAGACAACAGTGGAGTAGCGATAATTTTATGGGTGGAACTAGTAACTTTTAACTATCTTTCATATCTTGCAAGCGAAAAACATTCGAAGAAAATATATCGTTTCAAGACGATTGGGAGGTTGACTATTTTGTAGTGAAAAAAACAAACATGGGTCAGTAATTGTTTGATTTGTCACGAAAGTGCTGTATCTAAAATGTATCAATAAACAGAGATCATTCAATATGACACTTCTCGAATATCTCTTTCAAGAGGTGATTAATAAGCTTTCTTGAATAATCTTTGCAACAGCAACGAAGTGTTTTGTCAGTGGTAATGTCACAGCAGAGTAAATAAGACATCCTATGAAAATTGTTATATTATTGGTAATCATACGAAACCATTTGCTGATGTAGAAATTGTGAAGGAGTGTTTCATAAATACTTCCAATTTAGTGTTAATGGCAAGAATAAAAATTAATAATTAAAAATGGCAAAACAGGAGTTATAATATTTTGATCAATATTTTCCACATTTTAAATTTCCAATATTATCTTGGTTTTAAACCATTTCTTTCCCCCTCCCCTCCCCCATTTATCCTCATGTTGCGACCCGCGTGAAATAGCTGACGTATGTATGCGACCGAGCAGAAAAAAAATGTTCAGTACCCTTGGGTTAAGTGATTAGCCTTCCATGAAACTCCCCCAGTGATTACCTCTCAAGCAAGCCTGGTATTCATTTATCGACCCTCTGAAGGAGGAATGAAAAGTAGAGTCGACCAAGCACAGACTGGGATTTGAACCCGGGACCTGTGGCGAGGTTTCGTGAAAAATTACCTATAACTTTAAATAACAGCGAAGGACTGTTACTTAACGATATATTCTTTTAAAATGTTTTTGAAAGAGGGGTTTCCCAAAGCACCTTACAGTTATAAGGGTCCCATGATTCTAAAAAGTTAAAAGTTCTCTGTAGGGAGAGATTCGCTCGCTATTGATTGTTGAACAAAAAAATATATTTATTTGACTAATAAATGCTTAAGATCTACATTAAGTTATCACTAGAACATTTTGTCTGTTTTCAAAATGTGTGTGTGTGTGTGTATCACTGTTTTTGTTATACACAACTCCTTTCTTAGACGATTTTTAAATAGCACAGTTCAACGATATTCTTTTTTACGCGATTTTTTTTGTTCTAATCATCCAATTTTTTTAATTGTTATTTTGGCAGTGTTATCAGAACATGGTTGGTTTATGTTTACGCATGTGGGAGTGACTTTGTCCTTTTCATGGCTTATTTACTTAGTATTCCTAAATTTTATAATAAAGTTCTCTTTATTTTGTTGTACTAAAGCTTGAACACAACATTTAGTTTTCCAGCTTAATTTTATTTTGTGTAACAGTGTTTAGTTCATAGTATGCAATAAAAAATTTCAATAAAATTCTTCATTCAAATCAAATCCCACAGTTGGGTTAGATATATCAGACACATCTCTGAATATTGTATTTTTAATCCAATTCATTATCAATTAGCTATGAATATTTGTTTATGGTTTTATTCCTAATTTCAATTTGAATTTTTATTTAGTTATAAGTAATTACAGACTGAATTTTCACTGTACACTAATTTTCATTTTTTTTCTTGTGATAAAAATAAATTGCTTTTGTTCAATTCTTACTACATATGTTAACTTTCTCCCTATATATAATTATTTATAAATATATCTTGTTCAAAGTTTCAATCGTTAATAAAATGCTTTCTGTTTATCAGTTCATGTTGAAACACATTTTTTTAAACTTATAGTGGAAGACACTTGATGTTAACCCGTTCAGGACCATAATCACATATATGTGATCACGCGTTTCTTCCTCCATGACCCACGGTATCATATATGTGATTAGGCTTTCCCTCCTCGTTGGCCCATGATCACACCAGTGGGATCAGGGTTAGGAACATTTTTATATTAATTTTTACAAGCACTAGATGACGGTTAAAGGTCGTTTTTTCTTCGAATAATGTTTCACAAAACTATGAACTTCAATATGTGGTTTCCCTCTATGTGTTTTTCTTTAATTAGATCTGAAATATTTATGAATAATAAACAACTGCACATGTTTAGATTTTTCGACAGAATCGGACATTTAAAGGTTCGGGATCAATTGCTCTATGGATTTCTGTTTATATTTTGAATAAGTTGGTTTAGTTTTCGAACATTTTCTAAATCTATATGCAAATATATGGGATTTTTGTCAATTTTTTTTTAAAGTGTATGTGATTTGTTTTTATTAAAATGGAAACATTTTCTTTAAAATTCGCAATTGTTTTTTTTTTTAAATAGGGAACATTTTTGTACTCTATACTCAGATATTATCAGTGATAGCAAATTATTAGTTTTAGCGTATTTGATTGCATTTAAAATTTTATATGAATTTTTAAATGAAATTAGACTTAGCAGAGAAATTCACCCGGTCCCGGGCGTACGTATCCTCTTCGAGCGCACGGACCTCGGAAAGCGCTTCTTTCTCCTTCCGCTGGTCCTAAAGGGGTTAATACTGTTTATTCAAATATTAATGCATTTATTAAATTAAAAATGAATGAAAATTAACAAACAAAAATAAAAGTTCAACAACATATTTCGAAAGGAAAATCGTTTGTTATATCCCTGTAGCGCAATGGATAGTGCATTGACTTTTAATAGAAAGGTCGTGGGTTCGAGTCCCACCTGGGGTGGTCTAATTTCAGAGAATATGTGATTTCTTTTTTGTTATACTATTTTATTAGAATAATTAAATTTAATTAATGAATAAATTGTAATGAACAAAAAATAGTCCAACACGATGTATAGAAAGGAAAATAAAAAGTTGTAAAGAAAATCACTTTCTATTTTGTCACTTAAAAATGTGATTATGACGTATGTATATACATATTTAAATTTATTGTAACTTTTTAATAAACAGTAACTAAAATAAAATTTTCTTTGTTGACATAAGTGTGGAAATGGAATTATTATTTTTTTATTTTACTTCTTTTATAAATTTGTTCCATGGGTTTTGTAATTATTATTTTAACGGTTTTTTAGAAAAATTTTTGTAGTTTTTCACCTTACACTATTTTTTAAAGATGGGGAACATATTCCCAAATTTATTATATGTCGCATGTTTTTTTTACATTTTTCTTGCTTGGTTTTCGAAGGAAAGTATCTTCCATGTAAAAAGAAAAAAAAAAGAGTTAGATGTATATCATATTAAAATAGAAAAAAATTGAGTTGATACAGAAGTATTAATACTGGTATTATACTCAAGATGCATTTCTTGAAAAAGCTATTTAATAAGTGAAAGAACATTATTTCTCAGAAGAAACCGGAGCTATTACTCAACTTACCTCTCTTTTACTACAAAGAAACCCGAATCAATTAATCAATATTAGTTTCTTTACACTAAGCACGACATAAAATACATCAGAAACTTAGGCTACAATTTTTATTAGTTTTGGTTTATAAAGGGAAAAAAATGAATGCAACTTGGTGGAAATAAAAAAAAATGTTATTTATTATCCCCGATTGAAAGCTTCTCAGAAACAAACTTCAAAATGTGTTTCTAATGATTTATTTATCAATATATTTTTCACTTTTCAAAATTAGTTCTGAAAGTAATAAATAAAGCTTATACATGGCGTTATGTTGAGAAGTTTCGTTGGTTTAAAATATTACCTTTAATTATATTGTTTTTTTTTAAATTTATTAAAGCAAGAAGTGTGTAATATGTACAAAATGTCGCTGCCTATTTATTTCAAACATTCTTATTTTCCTTTTTTTCCCTCCAATAATTTATATCATTGATGTTTTTTATTGTTTAGTTTTGAGAATACTTTGAAGACTAAATCTTTTTGGCAAACTTGTGTGCATTTTTTCTCCCCATATATATTCCGCAAAATGAGTTTGAATTTATTTTAAAAAAATAAGTTTTGATATATCGTTTCTTACCGTCCTGTTTACAATAATTCTCAAAAGAAACTATCATTAAGCATAAAGACTTATTGTAGGCCTACTCATCAAATTCATTTAGATTTTTCATGCATAAAAGACTTTTATTGAATTGTTCCCCAAATAATTTTCAATAAAACTCTTTCAATTCCGATTTTTTTTAAATCTCTCTCTCTATATAAAAAAATATTTTTCGTGATACTACAGTAAACTTATTTATACATAAGGTATAGTTTGTAAAAATGGTTAGTAAAAAGTTGAATTTAATTGAAAAGCAGCGCCAATAAAACGATTTGCCTAGGAGGTTCACTACCTGCTTTCAGCCCTTTCTTGAAAAATCCACTTACGTCATAGATCGCGATGTTATACATAGATTTCTGTAATTGTTTCTAGAAACATTCATACTGTTGCCAAGTCGCAAAAAATGATCGTAAACTTTGGTTGCCAAAAATGATGCCAGGTGTCCATTGAAACGCCATGAAAGGGACGGTGTTGTTTACGAATATTACAATTTTGATCATAAAATATAAATACATTTGAATATTAAATATTAAAAATCCATACACATAAATTACAATATATTGAAATAAAAGTAGAACTATATAAAACATGTAAATTACAGTTTTACAATTTTAGCAATGGATATGAACTGTTGAAAAATTTGTACAATATCCGACGGACAGAATGTACCCTTCTCCTCCTAGTATTCTATAATGATTAGATTTGTTTGAATTGGTAATATTAAATAAACAATATTTTAGCTGGATTTTCTTTTTCTTCTTTAAAATATTCCATTAATATATTTAATAATTAAATGCACACATACGCGCACACAAATTTACACATATATGATTGTACTACGGGTCATTAAAATTGCTAAGCCTTTGAAGTGGTTATCAATAAACTTCAAATTTAGTACAATACTCTGAGATGATAAAATCCTTCTCATTTTAACATTTCCGTATGGGTAATTTGTACATTTACTCCATCTACATTTTGTATAAAAGAGAATGGAATATTTGTGAAATCCCACTTCATTGTTGATTGGTTGGAGAAAATTGGTGGTGTATTATGGCTCTATAAGTAGGAAGTTTATAAAAGCATGTGTTAGAATTTGATTTCAGCAGGATCGTCTATAACAGAAATTACGGCTTACTGTACCACCATATTATTTCTCGCCTTGAGGTGATAACGTGATTAATTTGAAATCGTGTGTATCTGAAATGGGTAGAGAAGACCCACGCAGGCTGTTATGCAGGATCTACCCCGAGACACATGCCTCTGTTATCTAACGAATTGATACAGCCATGTCATGTATCTTGTTTGTCGGACAACATTTGTCCGCACGCATAAAGTGACTGCATTCACAACGCCTCACACTTCTACTATATTGATTATTTTTGTAGCTTCCACTGACGTTGTAACAAAGATTGACTCTTGGCTGGGTAACAAGTTTTTCAGACCTGCTTTCCATTCAAAATATCGAATCCTGCGCGAAAAGGAAACTATGTGTCATAATTTGTCAGCCATTATGATTAAGGAACACTGACATAGAATTTAAACATGATTTAAATATTCTGTCATTCAAGAATAGGTTTGCCTTATCCAGATTAGAGATGTTATTGCTACAAAAGCAATATGCCTGGGAACTAAATTCTCCACACTGTAGGCTGAAGAGTATCAATCAATTTAGCTATGGCATCATAGTTATATATATATATATATATATATATATATATATATATATATATATATATATATATATATATATATATATATATATATGTGTGTGTGTGTGTGTGTGTGTGTGTACATATATACAGTGGTGCACACAAGGAGGATGTCTTAGGGATCCGGACACCCCCCATAGCCCTTGAATTTTTTCCATTGTTTATAATCCTACGTAAATATTACGTAAAATTTAATTATGTATTTGTTATTAATAATTAATGCTAATTATTTATTCAATAATTAATTTTGTATTGTTTTTGCTTTTCAAAATCGACAAGATCAAAAGAATTTGCTAGGTGGAGCATATCAAAATGGTGGACTTTCTACCCTGGACCCCTCCCTTGAAATATTTTTCTGCGCGCTATGTATATACACTCAGGAACATTGAAAATAGCGACCCAAGAAGGAATCTAAGTACAATCACGAAATTTTGCAAATAAGTAGAGCGTAATGTGATATGCAAATAATTCAAGTATTGTGCCAATACGTATGCTCATACACGCCGAGGTGGCTCTACAATCAGGAAGAGGATGCTATATAAGCCAGAACAAATTCGAAGATTCATAAACGTGACGATTACCCGCCGATTGTTGGAAGACATTGGTAAACGAAACACGCCAGGTAAACATGCTAGAAGACATTTCTAACAGTTAAGCCAGTTTGAGAGACCTGATCATTGGGATGAAAATTGCAGGCTGGTCGACGCGCCGTGTTACTGGCCAGGTGGATCATTCGGAGTGTGTCGTTAGAAATTGTTGGGAGCAGTGGACACGAGAAGGTACCCATGCGCGGAAAACCGGGTCTGGAGCGACAAGGAAGACAACGATTAGAGAGTATCGAAGGATCGTGCAGCAAGCTCTTGTGGACACCACAGTGACTCTTTCAACGATACGAGCAGACGTAGGCGTAGCAATTGTTTCACAAACAATTTCCAAACACCTTGCAGATGCAAATCTTAAATCCAAGCACCATTTCCGTGCACTCCCTTTAACACCGGAACATCGGAAACTGCGTCTACAGTGGTCCCAAGCCACATCAATGAGGAATGTCATAGATTGGCAAAAGGGTGTGTTTACTAATGAATCCTGGTTTGTTTTGGGGACAGATGATAACCGTGTACGGGTGCGGAGGCACCCTGGTGAGCGGTACAATTCCCCACACTGTTCTACGTCACATTGCTCGCACAGCTGGTGTAAAGGTCTGGGGGCCATAGAATATGATAGCAGGACGACTTTAATTGTGATGCGTCAAACCTTAATGGGCCAACGTTACGTTGATGATATTCTTCGACCTTATGTAGAAACTTTCCTAAATGATCTCCCAGGAGCAATTTTCGAGCAAGATAATGCTCGTCCGCATACAGCAAGAGTTGCTCAAGACATCCTACGTCATTTTCAGACTCTTCCATGGCCGGCCTGATCCCTGATTTGTCCCCTGTAGAGCACATGTGGGATCAGCTAAAACGGCAGATGTTATCGTGTCACTCTGTACATGATTTAGAGTTGGCTGTTCAAGATTTGTAGGCCCATCTGCCTCAGGACAACATAAGGTATCTAATCAACTGAATGCCGGACCGTGTGGCGGCATGTATTGCAGCTGGAGGTGGTCCAATGCGCTATTGAAGTTGCCCAGTATTTGTGTCGTTGCACACCCTATATTAGTTTAATTGTCTTGTTTTTGAGATCAAGTGAATCACTCATCTGTGTCATTATGTGTACTAAATTTCATTTCAATCCGGTGCTTTCTTCTTGGGTCGCTATTATCAATGTTCCTGAGTGTATTTATATTTATATATGTGTGAGCTAGATATTCATATACTGATCTAATAGTTATTTTTGCAAAATTCCAATGGTCATTTTAGGAACATTTGTTCATCATTCCAAATGTAATCGCATCATTTGTTGAAGACATTTCGGCATGGAACTAATGTCCTATATATGTTACGATGGTTGTGTATAATAGCATCACTTCGTCTTCAAATAAAAATATAGATTATTGAAAGCAAAATAACCGAAAA